GTGCCCAATTTCATCTGTGAGGTTCCCAATAAGTTGTGGTTAATTGATGACACTTTATCCTTAAAATAACCACAAAGAAAGAAGTGGAACCGTGTCAAGTCGCTTTTTGTTTGCAACTGAATCAGTTGACTCAAATTTATTGATTAAACTGGATCTATAACTTATCCTCAATATTTATCTCAACTATAGTTTTACAGTGAAAATTGCGGCAAATTTAAAATGTCAGTTATTTTTGGGACACGCTCTATTAAAATATTGATAAATCATGTTAAAAATTTACCGACCCAAGAAGCAATAATTTTACTATATTAATATGAAAACATACATTGTTTCAGTTTAATTTGAAAACCATTTTTTTCATGTACCTTTTCGAACGTGATCCAAAAAGAAATGCATGTAGTAACTTGATTTTTCTTAATATTTAATAATTAACGTTGTGATGAGATGAGATATTTAGATATGATTTAATTAAAAAACAAATAACGATTTAAGAATCAATAATATTACTATCATAGTAGGAAATAAATATTAGTTAAAATACTTTTTTTTCAGTTTACTTTACTGAACAAGTGAAATTAACGATTAAATCAGTGCTTTTCAACCCATGTATCATGAGGGGATTACAGATGTGCATCAAAAATTAATACAAAAAAAAAATCATCATCATAATTTAAGTTTGTTATAAGTTCAAGTATGCTTAAACAAGGAATGCTGAAAAACATCGGTTTAGAAAGATTATGCGAAGTTTTCTATTTACAAGCCAACAATCTTTGTCAACTAATTCATGTAATGTTTTATTTCTTCTTCAAACGTTTGCAACGGTCAAACAACGTTTGAGCTTGGGATTTACGCTCGCGTTTGTAATCCAAATGTTTTGCATCGGATTTGAACACGCCAAATCGAAATTACGGATTCATTAAAGTCTCCTTTTATCACCCGGAGACTCTGTAAACGCATTTTCATTTACCACATCCAACAACCGAAAAGCCGTTTCGACCATATATGACTGCAGGCTGCAGGCTTTGAATAAATTGAAAATTTCGATGAGTTTGGTTTTGGAGCTTGTTCATTCACGTTTGGATGTACACAAGCAGCAAACAAATACAAAAAATAATACAGACAGACAGACACAGACACTCAGAACCTTCTACTATGTATTGCTGTATAAATGTCAGCCGGATATTTACTGAATTTACATTCATATTAAACCCTTTTACATCGTGTTTGAGCATGAATGTATGGACGTTTAGAGTATGCGTGTGAGCATACGGGTAAAGTTTGTTAGGAAAGAGACGGTCGCTTCTCCATATATGTAGACATTGAAAACTAGTCTATAAACGGACTGTGAGTACGTACTCATTAAAACTAAGTTATACACACACACATAAACATTTTCCTCGACGATACAAACTGTTTACTTTGGGATTATTAATGGGGCACTTGATTCAATTATTTTCCGACATCCCGAACATTGAGTTAAATTCATTACAATGCTAGTAGCCAGCATCACGAAGAAAATTGTACCCGGAACACGCAGATAGGGAACAACAATAGGAAATACATCTAACAATTCAACAATTCTTACGTGCACATCTCCTTTTAAACGCAAATTAATGATGAAAAGTATTCACTATTTTTTTTTTAAATTACTGAATTTTGTTTTTATTTACTTTTCAGCTTCAGCCTAAATTAGAAATAATAGTAATAACAAATTATTAGAATAATTAGAATTATCCTTATTTATTTTACTTTTTCGTTATTTTTTTAAATAAATAATCTTTGCAATTATTATTATTAGTTTCATTATATAATTATTTCAATAAATATCATTAGAATGAGAAAGAAATTTCTTGTAATTGATAGATTTTTTTTTGTTATTTAATACTACAAAACTATTTTTCGAACTTTTTTTATCGAAAACTTACCATAACCAAATTGTTAAACGATTTAAAAAGGATTAAAATAGAATTTATTGGGTCTAAAAATTTTAAGATAAATTTAGTTTGTAACTTCATAAATTATTATTAAAAATTAACCTAATCCATTATTTTGTTAAGGAAATAGAGAGAAATTTAAGAAAATATGTTGATGTGAGAACTTCTTAGTTTTTCATGGAAGTAACATGATGTATTCAAAAAAATATTTAAATTTAGAAGATATAATTATACTTAACCGTTTCATGACAACTGGTTACTTCTGCTAACCACAAATTTAAATTTCATTTTCAAAGTTCCTAGCGGTTTCTAGCAAATACAGATGGTGGTAACAACCATTGTGAATGCATATGTTTAATTTCAAGAAAGATATACTAATGAGATGTCATTAAAGATGTTTTGTCTAGCAGTTGCTACTGGCCTGATTAGTGCTGCACCAGAAAATATAAAACGTGGTAGAAAGTAAAAAGAAACTGCAGGAAACAAATACAAAAAATGTGTGCCACAAGAAGTTAGATATGATAAATCAGGACATATGCCCTTCGATGTGCACACTGCAGCACTTCAAGAGAAGTGCATAGATCTATTTGGAAATGCTTGACTTGTGGGCTTGTGTCTTAATAAAGACAGGAACTGTTTTTTATTGTTCCACAAAAAGTAATTCGCTGTTGCAAGTGCTTACTGGTTACCAGCACTAACCATATCCTGGAGGATAATCAGGACATCCTATTCACATTTTCTTACCATAATTTTATTTAAACATTTATTTGTTAATAATCTGTAGAAATAAAAATGTGTGAAGTAATTTTTTTTAATTCTGTCTTCAAAGGTTAATCTAAGTTATCCTCAATTTTATACTAAAGTTATTTAATTGGAATCTTCTAAATATATTTTAGTTTACTAAAAGGGAGTAAAAAGTAGGGTTAATTTTATTTGTGGCTAATAAAAAGATTTTGCTTTTGAATCAAAATAAAATCTAATTCACTTTCATTAATTTCTTTTGTTTACCAAATAAAAGTGTAAAAAAGATAAAATAAAATCTGTGAAATTAATGTTTTCAATTATAAATTTAGGTATAATTAAATTGAGAAACAAACGTAATAATTACGAGTGGAATTAAATCAATATATCCGAAATTCGAGGATAAAAATAAATAATTAATTCATATATATATATAAATGTAATATGATTACGTGGAAATTACGCGTCATGCATTAATTGTAATTGAAAACCGGGGCGGGGGGAATTGTCTGCATTTCGTACGAAATTAAATTAATTCAATTGCAATTGAATTCGCGAATTAGCAAATTAATTGGAGGACGAAATTAGCGCGCGGCGATCGTCAAAGAATTCGAAAGCTGCTCGTTTATTTGCAAAAACAAAGCAAAAAAATGCGGGACAATCAGAAACAAGAGAAAATGAAACAAAAATAGGGAAGAAAACATGACCGGTTCGCAACAAATTTTTGTTGAAATAATATCCTTTTTTTTTCCCGCTCATTTGAATACCAAATGCAGTTTACACTCTCCTCACCCAAAATAATTTTCTCTGCTTCGCACATTTGCATATTGATGATATTAACATAATTTAACTACTTTTTTTTTATTGTTTCAGGTGGACTTTGATTTTTTTTCTTCGAGTGCGTTCATCGAGTGCGCGTTTTCTTCGCGGAAAGAAACGACAAAACAAATAAAAAACAATAATATAACCGAAATCCGTATTTCGGAAAAAGTTTAGTGGTGTACAGACATGATATTGCAGACGACATGAAACGAATGCAACCCATCAAAATACCGCTATGGATAAAATGTGTATTAGTGTCTTTCCTGCTTGCAACTGCACAAGGTAAGTTTCTTTTTCTCTATTTATATTTTTTTTTTGTAAATTCAGGTAAAATCGAAACGTGAAACGAAATCGCGTTTGGATGAAATAGTAAAATGAAAATAACAAAAAAATAATGAGAACGAGAAATGAAAAGATTATATGAAACAGGCGGAAAACAGGAGCGTACCTGAGCTTCGGTGTATTTACTTTTGCATTCGAGAAAACAACTGTTTAGCATTTGCTTGACGTCTAGGGAAATAAACTTATATATGTTTGCTTTTATTCGAGAACTGCTATTTTTGCAAATATGGAACATTGCGAATACAAATGCAAAATGAATTATCGCATGTTTCACAAAATTAAGTTACTCTAATTTTTATATTTTGCTTATTTGATTTCATTTACTTGATATTTCAAAAGTTCAAAATTTAAAATAATTTTTTTTTAAATCTATATTATCGAATCGTCTATTAAAACAATTAGTTAATATTATTGTTTCTATAAGAGTTTTTACATTTTTTTTAATAAATTTATGAAAGTTTTTAAAAACATTTAATCAAATCTTTTGCATTTTTCATAATTCTCTATCAAAATTATTATTTTTTTTAAATATGTTGAAATATAAGTCTTTCGGAGTGAAAACCCAAACTTGATAAAAGTTTATTCTTGCTTTTCAGAAGTCTTCAATATAGATTTTATTTTCATTGAATTCAGATATATTCATTTCTAATTTATTGATAAGAGTAATTGAAAAACTTAAAGAATTATTACGAATTGATAAAAAAATATATTTTTAAGAATATTCTTTAAGATTGGATAAAATAAATTCCAATTTAGTAATATTATTTCTGAAAAAATACCATAAAAGGTTGACAAATTGATTGACAATTTGATAATTTGTTCTTAGGATTAATTTAGATTACTTTTTCTGTACAAATTTAAATGAAGATGTAAAATTATTAAAATAAAACAGAAGCATAATAAACTTTTTGTTTGTAGTATAATTTGTACTAATAAATTGAAAAAATGTAATTTGTTGAAAAGTTGCAAAGTTTCCATGATTTAAACAAAAATATTATTTTCCTAAGATTTGCGTTTAATTTGTATATTTATAGTTTAAAATTAGAACTTTCAAATTCAAACTAGAAATTCAACAATATTCATAAAATAATATAATATTGTTTAATAAATTGATTTTTCAGGAAATTGAAATAAATAATAATTTATCAAAGCTAATTTTAATAATAAAAAAAAAATACGTTGAATTTGTATATTTATAATATAGAACGTTTCAAATTCAAACTAAAAATTTAATAAGTTTCAATTGAAAAGAAATATTAAAATATATTTGTCAAAAAAAAAATTAATGAGATATAATTAATAGTGTATTTTAACTATGAAGCTTTTTTTGTATTCAATGCGTGCCCTTGGTTAGTTTGTTTGCTTGGTTGTTTGTTGGTTTATATGCTCAATTATCGATGATTTTATACAGCTGCTATTCTTTTATATAATTTTTATTTATGTATTTTTCCATATATTTATATAATTTTTACCTTTTTTATTTACTATAGTTTCACTTACTTTTTATCTGTGGGCTAATTGTGTAAGAACAATTGATCTTTTATTTTTTATTTGAAAAAACTGATTTGGTTCCCTTTACTCATACTAAATCTGTTTTACTTTGTTTAGTATCCGTTTTTTTTGGTAAATAAATTTGATTATTATATTATATTAATTAACAAGCTACAATATTTGAATATTTCGTAAGTTTTTGTTATATCTACATTGTTGTAATTGTGAATTTATGTTGAATGTAGATAAATAAAAAAAAATGGAATGAACATTTTTGCTGCAGTGGATTTTGATTAAAAACGCTGATAATTTTTGATGGTTTAGCTAAAAAGTGAAAATCATAAAAGCCCTTCGTTTAACGGTTTTTATATTTTTATAGGCTTTTGGTTGATAATGAGCGAGGCCGTAAAATGTCGGGTATTCGATGCGAAATATTAAAAGTAAAAAAAATAGGACCATGTGCAATGATCATTATTGGTCCATACTGGTGCTTCGTCGATGGACAGCAATAAAAAAAATATATAGTGAGAGTATGAAACCGTTCCAATGGAAACGACGATATTAAATCCGGTAATCCCATTTTAATTATAAATTTAATATTTGCCCGTGCGATTTATCCTATATTTACGTTTGTTGTTGTTATTTTTGTCGATTCACAGAATTGATTAAAAAAGGTGTCCTTTCATTCTGGATTGGATGACTTGCGAACTATTTAATATATATTAGTAGGTGTTTCTGCATTCAACACTTATAGGAGCGAAGGCATCTCGCCTTTAAAGTTTTATTAAAAACAAGTGGCACTTGAACTTTATAGTTTAATTCCGTCTATAAAGACACCTCTCCCTCTATGCGCGCGTTTTCGACAAGTGGTATGGAATTACCTTCTTCGAACGGTGATATTAAAAGCGGAGAGCAGATTGATGAAACGAAAGAAACAAAGTGAATAAGTTCTTGGAAAAAATTTGATTGGATTCAATTGGGAGGTGGTCGAATGTGCCGTCGTTTCGATGACGATGACGGTCAAATATTTGTTAACTGGAATCGCGTGTTCCGGGTCAGAGGGTCGCGCATGAAATATGGACGATATTTACACTTGTCATTTTACAAATTACAATTGGTCCGCACCGACCCAACTGTTTGCGCAAACCCACCCGACCCAACAATCAATTACATTGTGCATGTACACTTGCCTTTGCCGTATCCAGTTTTACGCTGTGAATGGATAATTGTTCGAAATTCACGTTTCACAGCTCTAATTGTAATTTTCTTTTCTGAATATAGACCGTGTTCAATCAAATGTAAAAGAAACGTCTTTATTATTCATTGTTCTAATTACATTCAACGACTTCGACTTCGTAATTTCCAATTATAACCAATTATATAATAATCAATTACGAATGTTTGTATTATTTTTAGAAACAAAATTAATTTTAGTAACGGTTTTAATTTAAAAGAAAAACTTGTATTTGAAAAGAAATATTTAAACGACAAATAAATTTAAGAATGATTTTTTTTAACTTTCCTGAATTTTCATTTAGTTTTGTAATTAAAGTATTTTTTTTTATGAAAAAAGGCAAAAAATTTACTTTTAGATAAAATTTTAATTAAATAATAATTGATGTCAAAACTTGTATTAAATTTGTTTATTTGCATTGAAATTTATAGAATTATCAAGAAAGAGTAAAAATAGTAGAAATCACATACAAATTCACATAAAATTGTATTGAAAAGTAATATTTATTTAATTTTATTTTGAAGCCCGGCGCATCCACATTAATTTCAAATGAAATACACAATACATGAGAACTATATTTGCTTATAATGTTTCCAAAATTAATTATAATATTATGATTTTATTTCAAAACTTTATGAAACTGCGTTCTAATTAAACACCTGTATACATAAGAAAGTACCTGCGTGAACATCTGCTATAAAACTGCGTTGTAATTGAACACCTGTAAAGATAAGAAAACACATGCATGAACACCTGCAATTTAATTGAACACCTGCGTCAGCACTTGTATTTTAATTGAACACCTGCATAAATAAGAAAACACCTGCGTTAACATCTGATATACACCTGCGTTGTAATTGAATACCTGTAAAGATAAGAAAACACATACATGAACATCTGCAATTTAATTGAACACCTGCATAAATAAGAAAGCACCTGCGTGAACATCTGCTATCCACCTGCGCTGTAATTGAACACCTGTAAAGATAAGAAAACAGGTGC